GTTTTCTTATGAGAAACTCCATAGATTAGCAGAAGAAGACTTCTGTTTCTCTACAAAGACTGATGAAAAGACTCTAGCAGGAATTGAGACTATTTTAAACACCAAAGTTCCAAAGTTTTTTGTCTCTATGTTGTCATGTGAACAAGAGAATGGTGGGTAGTGGGGGATAAAAAGGTTTTCCCGGAGGTTTATTCTGGTGTTCTTATTCTTGTAGTTTTGTTAATAAACTTTATTCCTTTTAAGTTTTAACCCTGTTTTGCTCTTTTTCTAATCCATATCTCACAGCAAGAAATAAGTAAGTTTTCTAGTAATTTTTTAGTTACTGCTTTAAAACCACGACAGTTGGTCGTTATAATATAATCTTGCCCCAGTTCTGGCATGGCTGAGTTTTTTCTCAGGCTTTTAGTTCCTGCTTGATTTTTCAATAATCCCACTGTTTCTCAGAAGTTAACTCTGGTGAAGACAACAGAATTAGGTTTGCAAAGGAAATTAAGTGGATGCTGCCTTTATTCTGTTGCCATTTACATACCTCCACTATACCTGCACAAGTGTCCCACAGGAATGAAGCATTTGGTAACAGCTTTTGGCAAGACAGGTGCTTCAGATATTTTATTAGCTAAAAAATAAAATTTTAACCCATACACAGCACAAATTGTGGACCCCTGACAATGTTAATTAATTAAAGTAATTAAGTTAATTTAAGTTAATTAAATTAAGTTATTTTAATGTCAATTGATGTCAGCTCATATAAAACCATTTTCAAAACTCATTTGTTCAATTCAGCTGCAAAATTCAAAAATAATTGGAAAATAACATTTGAAATTTGGGTTAGAGTTGTTTTCTTAATATCTTATACATAATTATATATTAGGTTTGAGTGTCTCGCATGTTTTAGGCAGTTTCTATTTTTGAACATCAAAATTTTTAAAAAATTGAACACTGGGTATAAAACTTATACACTAAGTTGCACCCAGAGGCAACCTTTTCAGTTACCAGATAAAGACAGACTTTTGTACTGAAATTTTAAAATGTGTGATTTCTATATTCCACACTTATGGAAGTACCCCCATATAATTAGGTGAGCTAGAGACAGAACATTACTACTAAGCATGAATATTCGGATTTTTGTCAGTTAAAGTAACAATTTCTTCAATAAAAATCTGTCAATGAAATTTTGTTCAGACGTTCAGTAACTGCGCCCAAAAAGCATCATAGAAACAAGTCAATTATCTCTTTGAGAAAGACACCTGGTGTGAATTAGATACAAGTTTTACTTGTAGGATTGATTCGACAGAATAGTTCAAATAGTGGATTAAAGGGCTTTGAAATTTCAGTTTATTTGAACTTTCAAATTCTAGAATAATCTTATGAGATTATTGTTGGCGAGTTATTATTGTGTACGCAAAATAAACTTCATGCAATCGCCTACATTCATGAAAATTCAACTTCTCTCCTAGAGAAAAATTTAATAATTTTGTCCATTTTTGTCCATTAAAATTGTTCAATATTGCCATTAATGTTTGGTAAACTATAAAAATTGAAGATTATTTTAGGTTGGATATTCATAAAATACAAATTGTTATCTGAGATTATGTCAGGGCAGTCGATTTTTAATTTCTGTCATTCTTAATTTACCTAAGGGTAAAGCAGAAAAAAAAAAAAAAAAATGCCAACAAAGAAACAAAACAAAAAAAACACCAACACTCAAAAAGCCACACACCAACAAAACCTACCCACATTTAAATACATTTATGAAAAAGTTAGCATTTCTTTCCTGGTTATTTTACCCATGCTATTGCTAATTGTAAGTTCAGCTTGCCTCCACAAGATCTCACCCACTCTGTAATATTTTAAGTTTGCTTTTTTCAAAGACAGCTTTTCTTTTTTCCAATCTGAGCTGGAGTTTTGTGAATGGAGTGCTGAGATTTCTTTGCTGACATGCTTGGAGTCCAGAAAAAAGAGATAAGAATTATTGTGGGGGAAGAAAAAAAGAAAAGGTAGAAAATACACTTAAAATCAACAAATAAGGGAAAGCGGCAGAAACTCACCCCCCCAAAAAAATTTCAGAGCACAATGAGAAGGAAATAAAAAACTTAAAATCTCTCTGATTCACCCACATAATGAGTTCCTTTAACTTTGTCCCTGTCAAAACTTTCCTATTTGCATATAATCTTACATTATCTTTTTCTCTCAGCAGATGTTCTTTGCTGTATGGTATTAAAAATACATACTGCTTATGCAGTAACGTACAGGAGAGGAGGCAAAAACTGGGGGGAAAAAAGTCTTTACTTTTTATTGAGAGGGTAAATTAAAAATTGGAAGATCCAAGAGTCTAGAGCTGCTATCCTAGGAAATGATTTGAAATAGAGGAAATAATAGGGAAAAAATGGAAGCTAAGTGGATGATGGAAAGTGATAAGAGGTACAGAAGCAAGAGAAATGATAAAACACAATGTGAAGTGTAGAAATACAGGAAACATCTGAAATTAATATGGTCAAAGGTTGGAAATAAATTAAAACCACAGTAATAAAAGCTAAATTATTTCCAAATATTTTGTGCATTTTTAATACTTGCTTGAAATTGAAAAGGAGCCCAAATCCGAAAGCCTTGATTGAGTGACAGCTTGAAAGAAGATGAATAATTACAATATCTGTTTCTGTATTGATGTCTGTCTGCACGTTTTTAAGACCAGTTTTAGTGTAAATGTGTTGGGAAGGTGGTGGAAATTACATTTTCCTCAGTTTGGTCACAAGACTGTTTTTTCTGAGCTGATTGCAAGTGGTTTGAGACAAATCCTACTGAAAGAGGCAAGTTAGGTCTTATGGACCTCAAAGTTAAATTTTCACAATTGCAGTTACGCCAAGATATTTTTAAAAAGAAGGACTCTGAATCTTGTGGATGTACATGTGAGGGAAGGAGGAAGAGTCAATTATAGTATATAAACATTTATACCTTCTTTATACAGCTGAGCATCAAAGAAACACATTTTAATAAAAAACCTAATTATTTCAGTCTCTTATGTTTTGCCAATCCCACATCCCATGTCAGTTACTTGCACCCAGAGCAATATCTCGTTTCCAAGGACACAGAGTTGCTTTTGTTCTTTGCTGGGAATTTCTGCATTGGAGGGATTTCTGATAGAAGGTATGAGTTTCCTTCTTATTAACATGAAGGTTTGCAGACTTCACAGACATGACTTCGGTGTGGAAAGCTAACTCCCAGTATTCCAGGGTATGTTCAAAAAGTTAATTTACTTGCTAATGTTTTTCTGACAACTCCACTGTTATCAAAGATGGGTTTGTTGGAAAAAAATCTGTCGTATTGTGCCAGACCTCATCCTTTTGCTTGACACAGTAGTGGTCTCACAAGCCCAAGTGCTTGAAAGGAAAGAGATAGGATCACAAATAAAATTTATCCTCACTCCAAGTTAATAGAACACTTTAAATTGTTGTGTGGTCATATATAGTATCATGTCCTTGTGTGGTATGAGTAATTATGCATGTTACTGCGTTAGAAGTGTAGACAAATATTGACAGATTTTCTGTGATGTAGTTGTCTTCTCCAGAGTAGGAGGGAAAGTGCTTTAAAAAGAGGCTGTAACCAAATACCTAAAATACTTATTTCAGTTTAATATCTTATCTTTTATTCCCTCCCATTATATTCTGTTATTTCTTACATTTGTTGAAACAGAGTTTCTCACCCCTCTAAAAGTGTCATAGCTCTTTTCTGTGTAAGAGGAAATTATAGTTGCTTGTCCTTATTTACACATTGAGCACACACATCTTCATACATTAGATATTCTTATTCCACTCCTTTCTATCCTTTTTTATACCCTTTTTTTTGCCAACAGTTTGTAAAGGTAAAATGAACTGTACTTGATTTACAAATTGTTCTCATTATTAAACTTATGCTTGTATTTTAATTATGACATTCATAACATACCTTTGGATTCCTAATGTCGTGGAGGAGTAGCCTTTCCATAACTTTATAAAACCCTTGAATGAAAGCCCCCTTAAAGCAAGATTCCTTGCAAAGGGTGTATTTCTATCACGTTGCATTTGTGCTGAACTGATAAGCAGATGGTCTGCAACAGCTTGTACTTTTCAACTTTTATAGTAAATCATTTTATTTCTTCGTATAATGGGTTGTAATACAAACTAGAAACCCAAACCTCTTCTGGAGCAGGGAAGTGTTAAGTAGAATGAAATATAATCTTTTAATCAATTACAAAGAGAAATGTATTTTCTGCCCATACCATTTTAAATACTCTTTTAGCAGTTCATACATGGAAGTGGTATACTTTTCAAAATCCATTTTCCGCCCTGTTTTCTTTGGTCCTCCTATTATTTATGCAATTCCTGGTGTTGGTCTAAAGATGGGAAATAATCAGTTCAATTTGACAAGAATGCTGAGCTGATAATCACTTAAGTTGCCACAAGGTTTCATCCCACTATTTTCTTTAGGAGATAAATAATGGGGAGAACAGGCTTGGTGTCCGGATTAAAGGACCAGGAGTCCGCCAAGGAAGGTGGGAACCTCCCTTGGAATGGAAAACGTGACCCCTTCCCTCCAAATTGTTATAACTTTGAAATTACAGGGCTTTCAGGCAAAGATATGGGAAAAGGAATAACATTTCTTTACTGGTGTGTCTAGCAAGGCAAACAAACAATGACAGCAGCAGCAAAACCCAGAGACAGCCCCAGCCTTCTCCCGGCCGCAGGCGCTCTCCCCTCGCTGCAGTTCCCGGCACGGCCAGCAGGGGCGCCGCTGGCTCCCGGCCAGCCAGGCGCGGTGGCCTGGCAGTGGTGCCTCAGCCCCGGCCTCCAGGGCCTTGTGCCGTGGGCTCAGCTGCCCCTCCCTCACGCGGTGGTGGTGGGCACACCAGCGCAAGAGAGAGAAAAGGCGCTTCTCGCGGCAGCCCGCCAGCCCCAGTGCTGCTCCAGATGGGCTGTAGCAGGAAACTCGGAGCAGCAGGCCAGAATAGCAGAGGTGAGCGCACCCCAAAATGGCAGCGTAGCGAAAACTCCAAAGCCTTAGCCACAGGTGGACATAGGGTGTTGGATTAAAGTGTAGCAAAAAACCCAAAGTAACATCAGAAAACAGCAGAGCTGAGCAGTGCCAGCTGGGCACCCACAAACGGCTGGGAAAGGCTCCCATTGGAAGCAGGAGGGGATTGTGGTCCTGGGTTTTCCCCCAAGGCACCCAAGTAAACAGTGAGGGTCCTTTTCAGTAAGGTTGGATGTTGGCAAGGTACCAGTACAACAGCTGCTCTTCTGAGCAAAGCCTCACTCACAGCAGGAGAAGCAGTAAAGGATGGAACTCCTCAGTGGCAGGGAATTCTCCCCACAGCAGGAGCAGCATCATCTCACCTCCAGTACCAAGAACAAGAGAAAGCAAGGAGCTGAGGCCAGCCCCTCATCCCTCAGCTAAAATCTCTGCCCTTCCCAAGAGAAAGCCCCCCCAGATCAGAGACGCTAACAAACTACCCCCTTCTCCGATTCTTTTGTCATCTTTTGTCTCTCTTAAGTATCATCATTTCCATTTCTTAGGGACAAAATAGAAGAAAATTCCCTGAGCAAAAAGAAAAACAAAAAGAAAAATCTTAACCTCCAACACTTGGGTAAGAGGGAAAGGATCTCAGTGCAAAGAATTCTTTCAGAACATCATAATTTCAATCATAAGCTGAATCATAAGTTGAACCTTCTGAATTGTAATAATCATGTAAGGTCTCAGAGTTCGGCAGTTTTTTTTTTCTTGGTGATCAAGGTAAGATGATCAACCACTGGTTCTTTATCAAATGGAAGGAGTCAAGCAACAGCAGCAGCTGGCAGAGTAAAATGTTTATTTCAGCTTCTTTGCTAAACAAGGAAGACGTATGCTAGATAGATAGGAAGGAATTTGCAAGTTAATTAACTATGTAAAATTACAGATTTATGATATGAATTGACTGTGGGCTGTTCAAAGTTACTTTGAAATTAAGCTTTATTTACTTCTTTTTACATGATCATTTACAGATGTGTAAGAAAAAAAGATATGTCTGGTAGGTTTACACTGAAAGCAATGGTCATCTAGGAAATGCAATTACATCTCCTGAAAGCAGAAAGGTAAATAGGCAAGTTAGGGACAGTTTTGCTTGTTTATGTTTAAATTAAGTTACTATATTGTAATAACAGTTACAGACTTTATTGATGCTTTGGTTTTGACTAACAGCATTGTCTTCTTGTCTCATGGGATAGGAAGAAGTCTCTGGCATTGCTAGGAAAAAAAAAAAAAGTGTTTCACAGAGCCTGTCTGTGAAAAATCTTGGTTTCTAGGTTTTCACTAAGGGTGAATTAGAACAAATGGAAAATAAACAACCTCCCTGAAGGCCCCCCTTCTAAAGCCTGAGCTCACTTATAAAGTGTTGACAGTTCCCTATACAAAAAAACATCAGAAGTGCCAGATTTCTGAAGTGCCAGGAAATTGCAAGATTAGGTGATATGCCTAAGGAAACTGAAGGAAACAAAACAAAGTAATCACTACAGGGTTTCTTAAAAATATATATCTATTTTTTTAGTGGGTCTTCAACAGATGCAGCAAATATATAGTTTATCCAATTGATTTCTTCATTTCTAGTCGTTCCTTGATTGACAGCTTTTAAGTGATGCTGTTGTAGAAGTTGATGTGAATTGGACAGAGGGTGTATGTTTTGGGAAAGATTACTCTGGATTTAAATTTTTATTTTAAAATAATCTCATAGGTATCTTGTGCTGTTTTACAAGTAACTGCAAACAAGAATAAAAATAGGATTTTAGCAGTGCAAGTAATTGGTACTTTACAAGTGATAATAGATGTTAAATGTGGATTTCTAAGACTGACATCAAAACAGTTTTGAGTGAATCATCTATATATTTTCTGGAGTCTATTATAGAATTGTTAGCAAGCCATGGCATATACTTGAAAGGCAGTTTCATTCAGATGGTGAATACAGGCTGGATTGATTTTTTTTCATGATGTCTCATCAAATCTTCTCCTAGATAGTCCTACAAACACCTTAGCCCCAGTCCGTCAATGCATTCTGTATTTTCAATACAAACGCAAAGTGTGTGATGTTTGCCAAAGGTAAGATGTGAAGTGTTGAACTAAGAGGTAAAAGACACTGCTGTAGTGGGACAAGGGGAAAAATTTAACTCCACATTGAAAATGTGCCTCTTAAAGGTGACATCTTCTAATAAAAATATAACAAGTTAATGCAATGCATATCCTTTATGAAGAATTTCAATAATTTGTAACCACTTTGTAGGTGATCACCTGAGAGAAGAGTAAGTAACTCTGGGAAGCTGCAGGAGGTAGTACTGATCATAGGAAGAAAAGGTTTAATGCAAGCATGGATCAAGCAGTATTCCCAAGTAATTCCCAAAAATAAAGCTGCTATATTTGATTCCTCTGCATAATTAATGAAGACATCACAGGTCTGTGCTGTGAAGTCATTCATTCTTCAGAGGGACTGCAAAAAACCAAAAGTCGCAGCCAGCACCAACTTCTGTTAGGCAACCAACCTGCAGAGACTGGCCAGCCCTCTCCTGACCTTGTTCCACTCACAGAAGGCTTGGAAAGTTCACACCAGCCCTCGTCACAGGCAGCAGCTTGGTTTCACACAGATCTGCAAGTAAATGGAGGGCTGGAGTTAGAGAGAGGTTGTATTCTCATTTTCCCTCCACTGAATCACTCTGTGTATGGCAGGGATTTGGCTTCTCTGCAGAGTAGAGGTTTCTGCACCTTTCTGCACCTTTCCCAGCAGTTTTCACTCCTTCTTAGAGTTTATTGATTTTGGGTTGGTTTTCTGTGCTTTTTTGGTTGGCTGGTTCACAGGTTGCTTAGTTGGGATTTTTTTCTGTCACAATCAGGCTAATTTGGCTCGGCTTACTGATTTTAAAATAGATCTCAAGGATGGCTTCTAACAGCTACTGAACATACATCTGTGCATGTTTTGAAGCAATTTCCTTGACCAAGATCTGATCAGATTTCTGATTGTCTCTTTGCTATGCTTCTACCTGCTCACTGGGTTTGGAGAGGGGAGGGCAACCTTGTCTGGCATCAGTTTATGAACTGTTGTCATCTTAATGAAACCATTACTGCTGGAGTTAAACAGACTAGTTTTCACTGAAGTCTTGTTTGTTTTACCCACAAGCAATGGGCTAGGTGACTTTTTCCACAACATCTTGCTGTACTCAATTGCAGTGAAACTCAATAATCCTTCTTACTTATTATCTTGAGTATCCATCCTTTTTTACTGTGCTACTCTATTTGACAGAGAGTACTCCGAGTCATCTCTCAAACAGACAAAATTTGAACGACCTCTTGTATAAACAGATTTCCAGTGCTTTGAATTTCATTCTTCAACTCATCAGAAATCCTTTTGTTCACAAGGATAGTTTTAAGAGGGTTGTTATATTCTGCCAGAGAGTTTCCAATGTGCACTTGTATTGCACTTCAGGGGTCAGAACTTGCAGCACAACCACTGTTTTGAAATCACATTGGCAATACATGTCTTTATGTAAGGCATTGGAAGGATATTTCTGGTTCTTTGCTTTGAATGATTTGATAGTGAGATATCTTTCAAGAATGTGACACTTTTGCACAGAAGCAATGTGCAAAATCTCCCACAATGCTTGAAGTATCAAAACAGGCCAAAGCTATCTCTTTTCTCTTTGCCTCTGGCTAGTCTTCAAGTATGTTACTTTTGACTACTAGTTCTTCATCTTTACAGGTTTCTTGTATCAGTTTCCAAATTTGCTAGAGAAATGGAAAAAAAAGTCTGTAACATGCAGTTACACTGTGTATTATGATCCACATTAGTTTCTGCTATGGTAAATATGACAAGTAGTTTTACTGCCATGTTTAAACACATGGCTTAAATTAAAATGGTATTTCCATTGTCCTAATATGCATGTTTGTTTTTTAATGGTTGAGCTAGTCACATATTTTGAGGAATGTTTTCTAAAGTTCTGTACTCAGCAGTGGGAGTATTTTAAATTATTTGCTTCAGATGCTATGATAAAAGCTTTCATGCTGAAACATATACATATTTTCTAATCCAGTCATCTTTGTTTCACCACATGCGGAGCACTAAATAAATGCAAACTTCTTGTTCCATCCCAGCAAATGAATAATTCCCACAGGAAATGGAACATCCAGATATGTTTTCAAGGTATATTTTAGGGTATGGAAAGAAATCTGATTTATGATGACCTAGGTAAAAGAAAAATGTCTTCAGCTCTTTTACTTTAAACTCCACCTTTAAATTCCACCTGAATCATCTGGATGGTCTTTCATAATTAGCATGTCAAACATTACTGATTTTTTAAATTAATGAGATTAGCTACAGACATGGATTATATTGACATGATAAAAATGTTTATGAAGATTTTATGGGTAGAAAAACTCCCCAAAGAAATACTTTCCCAGTCTCCTTTAGTTTCCAAGTTGAATGTGGGCTGGGAGAAGGTTTCAAAGCCAGTCATTACTTTGAAATAAACTGTCTAAGTATCTTGTACTAAACCCGTAAAAAATAATCTTTTGAGGAAGTCTGATTATTATTTCACCTTTGAGCATAATTACTCAGACTTCTTTGTTGTTTTAGTATGTCATACATCTCTTTTCTCCACTGAAATTACCATGAACATACAACAGAATAATTTTCTGCAAAATTTTCTGCTGAGTACTTCTCAACGCTGTCCACTATATATTTCATAAAATCATCGCCACAGGGTTAACACAGGGTTTCCCTGGTTTTCCTGAAGATGTTAAGTGAATTTAAAAACATGACTGATAATAGGGTCATCTGAGTAATTTTTGAAGTACCCTAAAGCTGCCTCACATAATTCTCAGGGTTTCTTTTTTCTTACTTTTTTTATTATTTATCCTCTGGTTTGCCCTCTTTATAAACTTTAAGTCTGTTTTAAATTTATTCTGAAGTCACTGGATTAGGTTTAATGATGTTTAAAGATTTGATTTAGTTTTAAGAGTGTCTGTTGTTTATTTTGTTTCCTGTTTGTTCAAATTCCCCACTCTGCTGTGCTTCTAAATGTTTTTTAACATTTTGCTATTTATTTATCAAGAGTTCTCCTAGTCAGTAAGATAATTTACAAGGAAATACTGCAGCTGGAAGGGAAGCAAGCTGAAAAGAAGTGTGAAGGGGAAGACAAACCTTTTTTAAAAAATGTGAACCCAAAATTATTCCAACTCTTCCAATTTTGTTCAATTTTCAATGCAAAAAGTGTTTAGTCTCCTCCTCAATATTTAGTTCTTAATCTTCTCACTTTTACAACATCTCACAGAAATTATGAAATTAATGAAATTGAAAATCGTGAGCCAAACCTTCACCTACTTAGGGCACTGTCTGAGAACAATCAGAAACCAGTAATAAATTTGGCAGCTTTCTTCCATCATTCGAGTGCCAAAAAGAGAGTAGTACAAAACCATTTTATTTTTCAATTTGTAATTAATTAGCAATTTCTTTTTTTTAAGAATTAGTGTAATTTTATGTTCCCTTTGTTGTTCCTACATGGTTATTGAAACAATAAATAATATTAGTAAGTAATACACACCCTTACCACTCAAATGAAATTCCTTCAACACTCTGCAGCACTGTCTTCCTATTGAACTCATGGTGTTGCAATTATTCCAAGCCTGTAAATAAATGAGTTTGCCTAAAATCTACTTCTTCTGCAGAGAGAGAAATATTTAATAGAAGCCTAACCCTCATTCAGGTTATACAGAAACCCTACAACACCGATAATTTCTTAAAAAAATTAATTATATGTATCAGAGAAAAAGAAGACCTAAGGAATAAGACAAAATTCAATGGAATCAGTATTTTGGTCCTTTTTGGATCAGCCCATTGGCACTGCAAAGAAAGCTATGCTTGTGATTCAAAACCATGTTTCCTAGCATTTTGTAAAGATAGATAATTATTTCCCTTGCTCTGAGTTTTTAATCCTATTTTTTTCCATTTTTCTCTATACTTGGAGGTAATACCCTCTGTGTTTCATGATGCTGTTTTGAAAATATGCCACTTATGAAGAAATAGGAACTGGAGTTCAGGCCTGACACGGTTCCTCCTCAAGAATTAAACTTTAACACTTCTCAAAACACTGAGTGATTTTCTGCACTGTTGCCATTTCATATATTGATGCACATATAAGCTTCTTACTCGAAGGGTAAGTGCAGCTTATTTTATTTTACAGCCATCCACTTCTTTCCCTGGGTTTTACCATTTCTGTAAGGGAGTCATCGTGGTTATTAGTGTGATCACCTTTCTAACTAAATAGCCTGATTTCTTTAGGTATTAAAGCTGATTTGGAACACTGAAAAAATCATAAAGCTCTGGGCAACCTTGCATTTTGCAGGACAAGACACTCTGGGAGAAGGTCCAAATTCACACACATTGCACATTAGCAGCTACAAGGCAAGCTGGAAAAATGTTGAGATGGAACTTTAAAAGGCAAAATAAGTTCTTACTGTGTCTGTGGTTTCATGTTCTTGAAAGAATAGTGAACAAACCACACCAAAACTTCATTGATACCACCTACTCAAGCCGACTCAGCTACTCCAAGGACTGCTCTCCCCCATTATACAGTTCCCTGTTGCCCTATCCAGCAAAGAACAATATTACAGGTGAGAGAACACTGAAGAGCCCCAAAGTTATGAACTACTGTGTTTGATTGTTCCTCACGGTTTTCTTTTTAATCTGCTTTTTTCCTTAGGGTTTATTTTCCCCCAGAACTTTATCAAGAAAATTATTATCCTCATTTCTTTGGAGAGATTTTTATTTGTGTCAAACAAATTTGTTTTCAAAGATTCTTAAAAAATAAAAGAAAAAATCAAACTATGTTAACAGATGCAGCCATTGTGCAATTTTTGTAGACACGTGTTGTCTTTAATCAGTGGTTTTACGTTCATCGGAAATAAAAATCTGTTTAGTATGCTGGGGGAATTAAAGTTCTGAAGAGATTGTTTTAGTGCTCTTTATTTATGATGATTTGTTAGCTGTTGACTGCAGAAATAATTTTGTTGTTTACATTAATCTATGGTAGCAGTATTAACTTCACATCATACATAAATATAATTATTGATCATTACCAGCTGTAATTCACTGTTAGAATTACAGATTTACATAATTGTGCTATTACGTGTAAACTTGAACTTCATATCTGGGGTCACAAATAACTGGAGGCAGTAGAAGCAGAAAATTCTGATTATATGTCATTCATATTTTAATATATGCTGTTGCAATTTTGATCAGTGTTAATGTAAATATTTTTATGTACTATACAGCAATGAGATGCTAATGGCTAGAAATTACAGCAATATTGATCTAGCTAATAAAATGGAATGCATTAGTAAGAAAGGATATTTATTATCTCCTCCAAAAACTACTATACATCATCTGCCCAAGGAAAATTTTCTCCATCAAAGATTGAGATGGCATTCTGGAAATGGTGTAAAGCTCTTCTCAAAAATCAATCATGGGCTATCTTGTATTTTCTGCCTGCAGCTTTTTCACTGATAAAACTTCACAGAGAGAAACAAGCTATATAAAGGGATTCACTTCTGTAATACATTATCTTCTCCTCATGTAATCTGCACATAAAAAGATGCTCCAGAAAGAACAATCAGTACAGTTGGCCATCTCCAAAAGGCATTAGGGGAATGTGTGTTCACATCCCTGTCTTACTGATGGCCTCAAGCAAAACCTGTGAACTCGGTGTTGCTCTTGGGCACAGTGAAGTGAGAGGTCTTGCAAGACACAGGCCTGCACCAGCTCTTCATCTGGATTTGTCAGGTGTAGCCAACATAAAACCACACACTGAAAACAGCTGGACTGCTACATATTACAAAAATGATCTAGATAAGGAGAGAAGATGGCTTAAAATAAAGATTTGTGTAAGATTTGACATCAAACTCAGCTTCCAAAAATTCATCCTTTGTCAAGCACACCACACACAAGAATTTTAGTATTCCAAGCAACTGGAACAAGCTCTGTTCATCCACAGGGAGTCATTAACTTCTCATTTCCTGTACTTATGCAACACAATAACTCAAAGTGAAAGGTCACACAAAACTTAAGCCATAGAAAAGTAGCATTAAACTTTAAAAATCAGCTAAATTGAAAGTAGTATGAATAGAAAAACTGAAAATTTCGAAAACTGAAAAGAGATAATCAAAAAGAGTTTATAATTAATTCAGAAACTGCTTAAAAGTTGCCTAATTTTTTCATGTGTTAAGTCTGCCACTCTTTATCCAGCAGAATTCTTACCCTTGTGATACGAGGAGACATTTTTGATCATTTTTTTCTTTTCTTTTTTTTTTTTTTGGCTATAAAATATATGGATCCACTAAATGTGATAATATTAGTAAACTAGGAAAAACTATGCTTTATCTTGGTTAGTTAAGGAATTTTTATTAAAACTGAAAAAATTTTCCCACTAAACAGAACTGTCCAATTCCTCAACATAGAAAGTACTTTTATCCCTTTTTCTTATTTCTGTAACTGCCTTTCTTCCTTCTAAAATTTAAAGAGAAGCATTAAAATATCTTTTAAAATATTATTTATGTTTTCCTGCATGAAAAGAGATAGCAAAAATTAAAAGAAAGATTCCTTCCAGAAGGAATTTTTAAGATTTTTTTTTCTTAAAAATTTAAGAATTTTTAATATTATTTCACTCACATGAATTCCCTGATTTCTGAATTAAAAATGTAGAGAATTCTTTTGAGTTTTATTTTGAAGCTTCTTTTTTTTTGTTTGTTTTTCATCTGATTATTATTCTACTGTTGAAGTAATAATGCCATTCCGTAGAAGGAAAACTGTGAGAATTCAGAATGCTGGAAAATTTCCTTTATTTCTTTGAGTGAATTACAAATTAAAAAAGACAAAAAAAAAAGTTGTTTATCTATCTGGTTGAGGCTAGATGTTCATGGCTGTCATTCCAATATGGATGCATTTGATTACATCACATGGAAGTTACATCCTGAAGACTGCAAAACTGCAGCCTACAGAAATGCATCTACAAGCAGTTATGACTACATTTTACAACAGGCCACAGAAAAATTAATGACAAGCATGGCAACATGTTTTGTACAGGAGTCTGAGAAAATATTACTGGGTACTGCAGCTTAAGAAATATGAAAACTAACTAAAATAAACTGCAATAAACATGTAGGCATACCTGTTGCTAATACAAAATATAGGCAGTTTTAAGGTGTCCTGCATTTGAGAGAACAGCTGAGTTTTCTTGCAGAACTACAGCAGTGCTCTGAGCTGTCAGGCACTCTGACTTCGCAGAAAACTCAGTGCATAATTTGGAACTTACACAAGTAAATTAAAACCACATTGTTTTTGTTTTCCACAATCTCTTTTGTTTTTTCCTCATTAGTTTTGCCTCCCACTTCAATCTGATGGAAATTACTTTAATCACAGGAGGCTGGATCATCGGCTGTACAAGATTTGTGCTTAGTACATCTGGAGATAATGAGTTTGCGAAAGAGGCTTTCATTTCTTTCAACTCACCATTGCTCCACCCTGAACGAGCCCAGGTCTGAGTCATTAAGTTAATGTCAGGACTCAGAATCTACAGGCTAGCTGCAAGTCTGAATGCGGTAGCCTTCGTATACTCCTGGGAAAGTACATTCTGATCAGGGTCATGCACCGTGGTATGACTGAGGCTCCTCGGTAGTTTGATCTCAGCCCAACTGTGGGTCATGAATTTGCATGGGAAGTCTTCACTAGGTTTGTCCATATATGTGGGCTCCACCAGCTAGACTTTTCACCAGCTTGTACATACTTTAGTGGGCAGAAACACTTTTGCCAGTGCCAAAGAACAAGTTTCCAATTAGAATGAATAATGAAAATACAGGCAAACAATTTATGTGATGTCTTTGCATAGAACTTTGTGTCTTATGCAAACAGAGTTAATTTGTGCAATAGCCAGAAGGGGCCACGGTGGGGATCCAGAAGTTGTTTCACCAGAAGGGCTGTGAGAAGGAACTCCTCTGGGAGTTTGTTCTGCGTCAGTGTAGTGTGGTGGAGGGAGCAGTGGGGCGGTGATGTTTCTGTGTGAATCATTCACTTCTTTCTTCTACCCTCTGTCAGTATTGCTGTTGTACTGTTTGCTTCCTTATCTCATTGTTGTTTCCAGCAGATTGTTCTTATCTCAACCCATGGTCTTTGCCTTCTGAGTCTCCAATTCTCCTCCCCAGCCCAAGCAGAGCAGAGGGAGGGGGAGGCTGGGGGCAAGGGAGCGGTGCACAGATTCAGTGGGAACACTGAATTGGAGAATACCATTCCTAAACCACGAGTCTACGTTATATGACACTTGGAGACGTAGTTTAGTGGTGAGTATGGTGGTGCCGTGTTAACAGTTGGGTCTGATGATATTAGAAGTCTTTTTCAAATTTAATAAGTCTGTGATTCCCTTTACAGTAATAATATCTGTTAAAAGTACTGACTAATGTACCAAAGAATCCCATCTACTTGTTCACAAGCAGTCTCCTTGAAAATGTAGTTACTTTCAAAATAAGAACTTTTCCAAAACAGGTTTCCTCCTTTTTGGTTTTTTTTTTCCAAAACTTTGTTAAGGTTTAATTGAAGATAATTTAAAACAAAAATACAATACTGAATTGAAAATATTTTCTGGTTTTGTCTAAGTGAAGAAAGAATGGTCAATCTGAAAGACAGAAGGAAAACGTACTCTCTTTTTCCAGAGCAGAGGGAACAATATCTCACAAAATAGTGGTTTTGTGGGATATTTTCAACCAGATTTTTGGTGTGGCACTATGTCACACTGCATTAGGAACAGCGATAGTGATGACACAAACTCTCAGGCTTAGTTGCAAAGAGAGCAAATTTTTTGCTTCCAGATCTTCTGTTATAGACAGTTCCGAGAAGGTCCAAAAGGTAAACCTCTCATTGGTCATCCAACAAACACACCACCATCACTGGACAGTTAGGAACACCACCCCTTGACCGTTTATTGCAAACAAACAACAAGGTGACAAACAGCACCTGCAGAGATTGTTTTCCTTGTCTAAGGACTGTTTGAGTTCCTCCTCACAATATCTCATGTCACCCTTTCTCAAGCCAGTGTGAGAAAATTATGTAACTTAGTTTCACACAGACACTGAGCTACCTGCCTGATCTCTCGCGTTCAGCATCCACAGCTCTGTGGCTGGTTTTCTTCCCCTAGGATGTATGAAAATATGTGATCTGTAAGAAAAGTGAAAAACTCTCTGTTTGTGAGGCCTTTCAGCCACTAGTTGCCTATTTGTACAGAAGAATGACCAGGCATTAATGAGAGTCCAGTGTTGTCTGCTGTGACGCAGTGCCCTATCTCCCCCCAACCTGCATCAAAGACTGATCTCTTCCTTCCTGGGGACTTCCCATCCTCTATGATTGCTCCACATTTTCATCTCCCTCACTGCGTCATTCTGCATGTGGTTTTTGTATGTCCTCCATCTTTATAGGGAAAAGGCAGCAGTAATTTACCCAATCTCGTTTTACTTTCAGAGGTGCTATGTACAGTTCTTTTGTTCAGCTTTTTCTCAGGCAAGGAGGAAGATTAAGGGGATGACATTTATGAAAAAATTTGAGATTCCAGCTTGGGCCTTTCTCTGTGTCATTTTATGTAGCTATATATAATATGATTCAGAAACACCAGTTTCAGACCTAGCACAGTGAAGAGAAGTTTCAGAAAAATTAAAAATAATTAGATATATAACCAGAATGAGTGGAAAGAAAGAAAAATAGCAAGATGGAGAAACTGTATAATAACTCATTATATTAAAAAAAATCAAACAAAGTGGATATTTCCTCTTTTTTTCTCTAGAGTTTTTCCAGGCTCTACACATTTTTGTGGAGCAATAGGTTCTGACTCAAAGTGTCATTAACCCTGAATACTGATGCTCTTTTTTTTTTTGCAGCAAAAGGTGATCAGTCCAGCCAGTTCTAACTTGATGCAAATAGTTTGCAAGACCTAACACCTGTTGGACCAGTCTCTAAATGCAGTCGCAAAAAACAGGTTTTCCAAAGCAAAATACAGAGTATGGTTGCTGGGAATAAAAAAATCAAAAGTGGAAGAATGGCAAGGAGGATGGTAGATTTGCTCAAGCAGCCTTGCAGTTGAGAAAGCCAAGGCCTGAAGAACAACAGTGTAGGAAATAATATATTTTGCCTACTGCTGTTTATCCTCAATCTGCTTTGAGAAGAAGAATTTCTGTGTAGATATAATATAGGTGTTTACAGAGATTTGGGGGCACTCTTACAGACAAGTTTGAGCTTCTGTCTTGTGAGAGAGATCAATACAGAGATAGAAAAGCACAGAGGAAAATCTCAGTGTGGTGGTAAACTACACATGCATGGGCCTTTGATAAACAGGAGCCAACAGCAGGCCTGATGCCCTGCCTAGGCTTGGGCTGAGCCTGATGGTGCCTACATCCTTGTTCTGTGTGGCTCTGCAGCCCTGTGCTGTTTCAGGATCCTCCAGCTGGCAAGGTAATGAAATAAATTTATTCTTTGGACTTCAGCTGTGTTTTTTCATTGCCCATCGCCACGTGTGTGTGCTGATTTACGCAATGTTTAAGGGCAAGAAGAATACACAAGAAGGAATTTTCAGTATGGACAGATAATCCATACACTGCACAAAGACTGGAAAGGTCTGGCTTTCTCCTGTTTAGGCACTTATCACTGTATTCTTTGAGTTTCTCCATAATAACAAGTGGTTTTCATCCCCTTCAGAGTTCTTTGCTTCAGCATCCCTGTAGGCCCCTCAAGGATACAAATTTTAAGGACATAGCTACGAAGACTGTCCACACACTAACACTCTATGGGATGAGCAATAAACTGGAAAGGAACAACATGGAATCAGTCCATTAGATCTTGGTGAATGCAGCTATACATAAGTTATTGTTCAATTTGTAGTCCACCAGTGGACAACACTGCCCCCCTTGGAATTACCTAGAAGTCAGTGTTAAGCTAACAATAGAAAATCAAATGGATGGAATATATAATAAGCACAAATATTGCAAATATTCTAAATACACTGCAAGATGTAGACTTAAAGTGAACCAAGGCATC